AATTTCTCAATAGAATTCATAAAACTAAAATTCATATCATTTAATCAAACATGTTCTAATTCATTCCGAACACTTCAAATCTCTTAACAATGATTTGACAAGTCAATTCTACCTTTAGAATCTATTTATCAACAGTTACAAACTTTCACTTCAAAACCCATCTTATTCATTCCCTAATAACTCCTTATATAAAATGGATATAGAATTCATATACTGAAAAAGACCATCTTGCCCTTCCTCTCTTCCTTCTTGGCAATTAAATCATAACACAAAAATTTCCAAACATTAGTCCTTGAACTTATCACTTATTTTAATTAAACTACTAAATTTCAAATTTCTTATATTTTGATCACTGACCCGATGTTTGGGGTATTATGTAACATCCCAAACTACGGGTTAGTGACCAAATTGTAAAATTTCAGAATTTGATGATAAAAGTAGAATACTTGAATAGTTCAATGATTTATTTGAGGATATTTCCTGAAAGTTTTAGTAATTATCCAATGAATTAAAGGGCAAAATGGTCAATTGACATTAAAGATATTTTTATCCCCTTTAATAGGAGATAAAAACGTGGGAGATGAATGCATTTTATCTTCTTCTTCATTTCTTCTTCTTCTCCAACCATGGAAGACTAAGCAAAGGTGAGTTTTCTCTTGAGCTGATTATGTGCTGAAATTTAAGTTTAGTTTTGATTATTAGATGCTAAGTAAGATTAAGGAAAGATTTATTTGCTTTAAAACAACAAAATGAAGAGTTTATGAGGATTTAAAGATTGGAAGTTTTTGAATGAAATATCGAAATAAAGTTTATATTGAGAATTGGAAGTTGAATTTGACTTGTCATCAAGTCAATTAAGGGATAGGAAGTGTTAGAATAGGAATTTGAACATGTTGCAAAACTAGTATAATTTTTGCAATTGCATGGGAATGACTAGATTTGAAGTTAAAGAAGTGATTATGGAATAGAAATAAGTTTAAGTATGTGTACTAGAGTTAAGAATGAAAAGGGGATGATATATGAAGTGTTTGAGAGAAATTGAAGTGATTTTCGAGCTAAAAATATGATTTCTGGGCAAGGGGAATCGGTACCCATTCAAAGGGGAACCGATACCCCTTCAAACGACAGAATTCCAGAATGCCAGAGGGGAACCGATACCCCCACAGGAGGGAATCGATTCCCCCTAAAGGAAAATGTTAATATTGGTTTAATAAGTTCGTTTAAGTTGCTAGTATCCAATTAAAATGTGTGGGTATCTAATAATTGTCTTAAAATGTATAATTAGGTAGATTCAAAGCCTAAACGAGTTCCGGAATCATTGAAAAGTAAGATCGATAAAAAGGGAAGATAAGAGATTGAAAGGGGCTAGTGAGGCCAGGTGAGTGCAATTTAAATTGTACTTATGTGATTGATCAAACATTGGCTTGCGATGAGTCAATGATAGAGTTACTATGGTAAGAGGTAAATTATATAATGTTATGTGATTACTCTGTGTGCATTAGTACATAGAAATGGATGTATGTTTATATGTTACATGATTTACATGCTTACATGAAAATGCAACATATGAGATTAGATATGTGCTTACACATACATTTGATATGTGATAGAAGAGAAGGAACATGTGATTATGATATCAAGGATTACACGTACATGTGATACGTGACTGAAAAGAAAAGATATGTGTTTATAAGAGAAAGAATATGAATAAGTAATGTGAACTCATAATGATAATGCCCATGTTATGTGATATGAGAGCTAGGGGTATAGTTGGCATGCCAAGAGTCGAGGGTAACCTATGTTCTTCGGGACATATGGACTGTTTACCTATGTTCTTCGGGACATATGGAATGTTTACCTATGTTCTTCGGGACATATGGACTGTTTACCTATGTTCTTCGGGACATATGGACTGTTTTACCTATGTTCTTCGGACATAGGACTGTTTACCTATGTTCTTCGGGATATGGACTGTTTACCTAGGTTCTTCGGAATCTATGGACTGGTCCTTCGGGACATTTATCGAGCTGTGGTGACAGCATATGTGTGCACAACCTCATGTACTCACATACCTTAAGTTCTCACTAGTGTACATGGCTAATAAAGTGATTAAACAAGCTACTGAATGTGATATGTATACGATGGGTTATAAGTAGTTTGAAATGTGTTACGTGAACCATATGATGTTATGTGTGTTTCTTAATGATAATGATGGTATATGTTTATGTATGATTTATGTTATATGAAATATATGTTTTATATGCCTCACTAAGTCTCGACTTAGCGTGTGATTGTTTCACACGTAGGTATGGAAAGCGAAAAGAGAAATAAAGAGGGAGCAAGACAGGTCAGTTCTTCTTACCAAATGTCAGATCAGAAAATATATGTATTGTATATAGAGTGTAGTTGGCATGTAGTTAAAGATAAAAATTGTATGAACTCTGATATATTTTGTAACGTTTTGAATATTTAAATGTTATCAAGTTTTTTAAATTACTCACTATTTTATACGAATAAATGTTTGAAAAGTCAATGTGACACTTCGGACTCGTATCCGGGTCGGATACGGGTTGGGGGTGTTACATATTATAAAAAACTTTTTTTAAAAAACAACTAAAATATTACCTTAAGTACCTGAGTCGGGTAACTCTAAACCCCAACTCTGACCCGAAACTGAATATTTAATTGAAATCTGATCGACTCAAATCCAATTTTTTTAAAATTCGAATCCAATCGGTCGGGTCGAGTCGTAACCCATCGAATGCGAGTCTCATGCTCATCCCTAGACATGCACAAATCGGATAAGGCCGGATGGTGTAACCAGTTTCGGTTTGAAAAGAACCGATTTTTTTATAAAAAAACCAGATATAAAAAAACTTGGATCCGATCTTGAGTGAAGTGCCTTGAATGATTTTGTAAAATGGTTCTTCAACGTTGTGTTTCCTTCCGGTGCAAAAAACTTTAGATAAAGTTTACAATGCGCCCTCCTCGAGCCATTTGACATCTCACATAAATCGTACTGATCCCAAATATCTTGGTTTCGAGTGTGTTCGATCACTCTCACAAGTTCAAGGTTTCTCTCGACAGAAGATTCAGCCGTGTTAGGGTCGGTATTTATAGCCATGATGAACAAAAAAATTACAAAAATAAGATTTGAAAGATGTTTAGGTGTTGTGTAATAAGATTTTAGAAAGTTGTAATCAACCAAATACATCCCCAACCTATTTATACATGTTTAGGGTGGTAAAATGGTGATTTTTTAAGAAAAAATTGTCACAAAAACCCCCTAACGGCTAGTTTTTAAAACCCCAGACCGGATATTTTTCGGATAAAAACCGGTTTTTAATCCGGTAAAAAAACCGATCGTCCAATTTTTTCCCAAACCGATTATATTATCCGGGTTTTTAAATATCCGATCCGGTTTAAAAAAACCGATTTTTCCTAAATCCAGTTTCGAATACTTTTTACGTAAAATCATATATTCGAATTTTTTGTACACCTCTACTCATCCCTCATGACTCATGAGGGTCTTCAAATTCGAATAGATTTTCAAAAAAAAAAAAAGAGTTCATTGGTCGAGCACGAATTATGAGTAAAGACCCGATTTCAAATTATTTTTAAGTTATTTGGTCTCATTTGTATCGGGAAATTCGTATTAAGGAGTCGACCCTCATTTTAAATTACATCATACGTATATACGTATGACACATATTAAGAGTATTTCATTAATATTTTTGAGTTAATTACATCATACATCCCCAATGTATGATCCTCATTTTAAATTGGTCCCTAAAGATTTAAACATTTCAATTTCATCCCTAAACTATAATTAGTCCTCAAACTTTTTGAACATTTCAATTTAATCCTAAATTATAAATATATACTAATCACATCTCTTGTTAATAAAAGCATTAGACCTAGTTATATTATCATATGTTTGGGAAAAAATTAGGTTAACTATGGTTGAAATGGATTACACATTTGGATGGATTTGGGGATAAAATTGAATGATCCAAAAGTTTAGGGATTAATTCAGAATGACATTCATAGTTTGGGGATGAAATTGGAATATTCAAAAGTTTAAGGACAAATTTAGAGTGGGAGTCATAGTTTTGGTATAAAATTAAATATTTAAAAGTTAAGGAGTAATTTAAAATGAGGGTCATAGTTTAGGGACATGTGATGCAATTAACTCATATTTTTTTTATTAATCTCAAATGGATATAAAAGTAGTACATAGACGCTCGTATATTCATATAAATGTGATGTTTAAATTTAAAACGTCAAGAGATAACAACAATTCATTAATTGTTGAAATCGTTTGATTCATACGTATAAAATCATTTTTATTTACTTTTTTTTATAATAAACTAATATGTATGATAGTATATAATTCTATGATGATCAGTTAACTAATAATGATGTATCATCCATATATGAATATAATTTTAAAATTTTGTGGAATGAGTTATAATATTATTTATTTAAAATATATAAAATCAAATTTATTAACTTATTTTATAATAAATATAAAATGTTTTTTTCATAATGTGAAGTCAAATTTGGGCCCAGCCAGGCCAATCCGAGGTTGAAAACCAATTCCCCAAAACAGTGAACTATTTAATACTCTAATTCGTTATTTTATAAATTAAAAAATATATTCAATAAAATATAAAAATAATCATGAAAGAGGAATATTTTGTTAAGGTCAAAAGCTTATATTTAAAGTAATTCAACCTTGGGAATCGCGGGGACTAGGAGAGAGGGGTTAAAGCTCTATACTAGAGATTCAGTTTAATAATTTGTGATCCATGACAGCAAACTTTAAGTCATTGAAACTTTAGTGACTAACATGAACTCGTCGAAACTTCAGTGGTAATAGATATAATTCATTTATACTAGGACGGCTTAATAACAAGCGTTTACCCCTTTTTCCATGTCCAATTTTTACTACAAGTTGTCAGTACCATATCTATTTCTATAATATAAGAATTCACCAGTGAAACAAAAAAAAAAATAAAATAACAAACGTGTGTATACATATACCCAAACTCATTTTTTTTTTCCCCTACCAAAGATGGAAATCATGAAATTGTGTTTGTGATGATAAAGAAGTTCAACAAAGCAGTCAGCAAACAAGCATTAGGTACTCGGTCTTGATTCTACTATACCTCCTAAAGTTGGGAATATAAACTGCACCATAAAACAAAACTAGAGAATCATACATATTGAGAGTCATCGACGGCAGGGGGCAGTCGTCTTCATCGGGTGATTCCTTCTTGGATCCCATCTCCTTCCTTTCTTTCCATCTTGCCCATATCCATTTCACTAAGAAGATACCACCGATCGCATATACCTGACAAAATCACATAATAAGTAAAATGGTGCTGGGAACGAAACACAAAGCATTGTATTCAAACTCAATATATTACACCATCCACGGCTATTTGTTTACTAATTGAAAAAAGAAGCATCAAATATCAATATGCAACCTTTAAATTATGGTACAAGGGCAAAAATGCAACCTAAGCCCGAGATTCCTTAATCAAATATACCAGTATTTGCACATTCCTTAATCCCAGTAACATAGAAGAAACTAACATATAGAAAGAAAGAAAAAAAAAGTATACATTGAATCTCCTCGCACAGGAATTGTGGAGGTAAGTAAAATAATTTTCATTCAATCATCCTAAATTACCAATGAAAATGAATGAGGAAAATGTTACAAATAGTTCGATTCCCTAGAATTGGATCCTAGCTCCCAATACGAAAATAAATAAACAAATGTTGAATATCACATACAGCTTCTAGATGTCACATCTTTACAGTTTACACCAAGAAAATAAAATACCTAGACACCCCAATCACATCGTATTGCAGTCAAGGCGTAAGGCACACTCTAGATGGTAGAACCTTTATAGCATCTAAAGCACTCGCCTAAGTGAAGTAAGGTACATGTGTATCTTTTCATGTATGTCAGTATTATATATAATAAGCTTAAACATATAATATGATTATAAATGAACAGCAGTCCATTTTACCCTACAAACCGGCAAAAATTATTAAAATGTTGATCGAATGTGGTTCACTACAAATGGTTTAAAATGGTTTTGTTGTCTCATACTGAGAGATACAGCAGTTTAAAAGTTCCTAGATACACGTCTTAACAACACTGTTCACTGGTAAAATAACCATTTCTTTGGAAGAGAATATAAAAAAAGTTGGCATCTTAGTATCTCATGTATTACTTTGCCTCTTACAAACATATAAATTCAACAATTTGCCTTCACTATATCATCAGCTTATTCTTCCAGGAATTTAAGAGTCATGAAATTTTGAAACATCTTCCATTGACTTCATATATTATTTAAAAAACATGAAAAATATACAATAACTTGTCAGCTACAACCAGAATACTGAAACTATTGACTTACACAGCTGGAGACCAATCTAAGAAAAAAAAGAACTAGCTTACCAATAACATTCCCCATATTTAGCCTTGTAATAATTTCTACAAAAAAGTTAGGCCTCGTGGTTCATGTGGTTTAGGAGAAAACAACAGCAATTGAATCACGGAAGAACAAACAAATAAGAAAGAAGTTGGAACACTAGAACACATAAGGTTATACAAACCTCTAGTTTCTCTCTACTGATTCAAAGTAAACAGTAAGAATGTCAGAATATTGTTGGCTGTTAAGTTTACTTTTTCTTTAACCCTACTTTTTCCGGAGTTCCAACTACTTTCTTCTTGTTTTTCAGCCCAATTCTATTGATCACTGTTTGTTTCCCCTACACAACATTAATGGATCCATCAAACAAACCCAGATGAATTTTTCTTCAAATAAACCTTGTTCTAACAATTTGCGCCATAGCTTTGAATATTTTGTTCAAACAATTTACTGGGAACTAATAGCAGAATTTTATCAGTGCATCTTGTGCTCTTCACAACACTGAATAAAAGACAAGCACAGATACATGCTCTTTCTACTTCCTACACAACACTGAATAATCTCTACCACACTCTTTGAAACAACCCTTTCTAGATATAACTAAAATTATAATGAAACGGAAAAGTTGGGCTCACTGGCAATTCACATAAGAACCATACAACAGAGCATCAAACATAAACTCATAATAAAAAAATAAAATAAAATATGCTAATCGAATTCGATTTATTCTAAATAACAAGGTGACATTTGACAAAACTAGCCCAAATTTACCTCTTTTAACTACATATTTAGTTACCTAAAGCACCAAGAAACAAGAAAAAGTATACCTGCCAGAGAACTATAGGATTAGAAGTTCTCCCAAGGCACTCCTCCGCCTCAAATTCCAACGGCCGAGGAATTTTCCGGCGGTTTCCCAGAAATAAAGATGGTGGTTTAGGGATTTCAATCTCCTCCTCCCTTTTAACCGAAACTTGAGGTTTTTTCGATGGTTGGTTTAAGAAAGGGAATTTCAGGTCCAGTTTGGGGAACAATGAGAAAAAAATCCTGGGTCCTAAAGGATTTTCAGCCTTGCGCTGGATTTCTTTGTTATTTGCGTCCGCCATTGGACTTGTTTCTGACTCCGGGTCCGTACACCCAGGCTTGAATTTATCGGCGGAGAGATCAGAGAGGTCACGTGCCTATCGCTTGCTCTTTTCTAATTTCCAGATTTTAGATAGATTTTCATCCTCTCAAGTATTTAGGTTCTATCAAATAGTCTTATTGAAGTGTGGTTTAGGTATTGATTAAGTGCTAAAACAACAACAACAACAAAAAAAAACACAATTCCCATATATAATGGGATAAGGAGAGGTAGAGTAGTAGGCTGCCCCAACGTCAGGTTGAGAATAACTTCTGTGGAAGACCTCCGACAGTCAGGAAATTAAAAATATAGATAAAATGCAATGCATGTATAAATAAATACATAAATACATAGTTGAACAGTATTCATATGCAGTCATTAATATCATTAATATCATATGCACGTTTGTAATAGGCAGTAATCCATGCAAATAAATCTCTGCATATAGACAGAAACGTAAGACCCGACTAAATTTAAAAGTGAAGAGAATGTTACACAGAAGTCAACGATAGCAAGCCCAGTTCTAAGCCTTCATAAATATCAATAACAGAAACGTATAAAAAGTAGAAGTCATGGAAATTACTACAAATGCATTAAAAGAAGACAGAGATGATACACCCTAGAGATGTGACCCACACTACTCGACTACCCTAGTCTTAAGTCTCCATACTTTCCTATCAGAGGTCATGTCCTCGGTAAGGGCTAAATCTATCAAATCAGATCTCAAGCAGTCTTCCCACTTCCGCCTTGGTCGTCCTCTCCTTCTGACACCGTCGACTGTAATCGAATCTATCATCCTGACCGCATCCGACGGTAGTCACCTAAGGATATGCCAAAACCACCGTAGTCTTCCCTCCCTCAATTTTTCGGAAACAGGCACCACCCCCAAGGACATCCTAATAGCAGAGTTTGTTGTCATATCCCACAAAGTCCTACCGCATGTCCATCGAAGCATTCTCATTTCTACGGCCTCTATCCTCCTTACATGATCCTTATTGGTTGCCTAATATTCTGATCCATACAACAACGCTGGTCTTATTGTCATTCTATAAAATTTTTTCCTTAAGTTTTAGAGGCACCTTCTTGTCACACAAAACTCCAATAGCGGCCCTCCACTTTAGCCATCCCGTCTTTATACGGTGTGTAACGTCATCATCTACACCCTATCTTTATGTATCATAGACCCTAGGTACTTAAAACAATCCTTTGAGGGGAGAACGTGTCCTTCTATGCATACTTCTACATCTTCATCGTTTTGATCCCCACTGATTAAGTGCTAAAAAATTGAATATTAAATCTTAAATATAAAACCTATATTATAATTCAAAATTTATTTATCTATCCATAAATTATATAATATTACACTTTTAATTACATTCTCCACTTCATCTAAGAACAAAGATATTATTAGTAGTATTTTATTAAACACAATCTCTTTCTATATAATATTAAATCTTGAGATGACACTACACCTTTAACATAATAACACCTACCATCTACCATAAGTTTAAAAAAATATCATTCGACCAAAATTTAAGAAAAAAATTAATTAATCATCTAATATTCCACCGCTAATGAATTTCATAAAGATTTACGAGTTCACATATCAATAAAAACATTACCTCCACATTGATGGAGGTACCTGAAATTTAATTAATTATTTTTTTAATGTGCTCACATTAAAATTATATTTATATTAATTATCTATTTTATTATTGTGTCCACATTAAAAATTGTGTTAATCCATATAATTTTTTTATATATATATATATATATATTACCCTAAAAAAATGAATAAGGCGCAGTCTGACCTGCCAGAGAATAATTTTGTTTGAAGTGGTTCCAGAGACGTCGGCCTCAAGCGTCAAAGGCGGTGGAACAGCCTGCCAAGGCTCCGAGAACTTCACAACATCGGCTGCCTTGTTATTCTTGCTAATTTTCTCGTCATCACCACCCGACTGTTTTTCATTGGGTTTCTTTTGGATCGCAACTTCAACGCTGCGTTTCCTGTTGAAGGGAAGTTTCGGTAGCCATAGCAGCAAGTTCTTGGGGAATTTCGGGTTCTTGTCTTCGATCTGGATCTCAAGGTTTTCGGCCATTTTTTTTTTGTTTCGCTACAAAAACAGAGAAGAACACTTCTAGAGCTGAAACGTCAGATAGATAAAGCGGTAAAACCGTAAAATTTGGAGTTTGGTTTAAAGCTTCTTGAAGATACTAGGAAGAAGGCCCGAGGGTCTATAGAATCTTGAATTGCTCTTATTTAAGAAACTGGGATAATTCTCTTTGAACCCAACAACTATGAGAGTGTTAACCACTAAGCCCAATAAAATTCATCACCCAACCAATCCATTTATGTCTTTACAAATGAATTTTCAAACTTGACCTTAAGGGTGCGTTTGGTTCACGGAATGTAAGATTATCAGTGGGAATAAAAGATTAATAGGGAATAGGATTACTGGGAATATTGTATTTTGTGTTTGGTTGGTTTAGCAGGAATGTAAGATTACCGTGTTTGGTTAAAGGAATAAAAGATTATTGGAATGTATATTTGACCAAATTGTCCTTATTATATATTTATAATATTACAAATTGTAAAATATTTATATATTTTATTTAAAAAATTAAATTCATAATATTTATATAATTTGTTTTACAAAATTAAAAATATAAAAAAAGGTTTAATGAAAGGGTAAAAAAATTTTAACCCCTGAACTTCATATAAAATTTTAATTATAGATTTTTTTTGTAAATCTAAAATAATTTAAGGATAAATTTGTAATTTAACCTTCGTAGAATTTTTATTATTCAATGACAAAAGAATGATATTTTTTTTAAAAAAAATTAAAATTTAAGGGCATTTTAGTCCAAAACGCCGGTAATGTTACAATACCTAAGGGAAGGGAGGTTATGACATTCCCGGTAATATACCCCAAAAAATCTACTATTGATAATAAAACATTACCGGGAATGAGATTCTCGGCCAACCAAACATGGGAATGTGTGATTCTCATCTCATGAGAATCCCACAATCCTTGAACCAAATACCTCATAGGGTGTGTTTGGTTGGGGGAATGTGAGATTCCCATGAGAATGAAATTTACATTTCCCCGTTTGGTTGGCCAGAAATGTCATTCCTGGTAATTTTACATTAGTAATAGTGATTTTTTTGGGTATATTACCGGGAATGTCATTACCTCTATTTCCTTAGGTATTGTTGGATTATTGGCATTTTGGACTAAAATGCCCTTAATTTTTTCTTTCAAAAATATCTTTATTCTGTCATTGAATAATAAAAAATTTACGAAGGTTAAATTACAAATTTATCCTTAAACTATTTTAGATTTACAAAAAAAATCTATAATTAAAATTTTATATGAAGTTCAGGGGTTAAAATAAAATTTTACCCTTTCACTAAACCTTTTTATATTTTCAATTTTGTAAAAAAATTATATAAATTTTATGAATTTAATTTTTTTAAAGAAAATATATAAATATTTTTCAACTAGTTAAAAAAACAAATATATAGTAAGGACAATTTGGTCAAATATGCATTCCAATAATCTTTTATTCCTTTAACCAAATATGGTAATCTTACATTCCTGCTAAACCAACCAAACACAAAATACAACATTCCCAATAATCATATTCTCTGATAATCTTTTATTCCGACTGGTAATCTTATATTCTGTGAACCAAACACACCCTAAATATCTCGTTGGTATCTAAATTATTTTAGACCTATTTAATATTTGGGGTTTTCCCCTAACCTACTTGTTACTAATTTGAAAATTGCGACTTACATTAATTTAAAATATTTAACTTCATTAAAATTTTACTCCCACGTGATATCAATTAATTAATTAGATATGACATGTCAACAAAATTCTAATATATATATTTTTAAAAATAATGTATTTACAGTTTGACTATCAAGTAAGTCAGAAAACATATTAATAGGTCGAAAAAAAGTTTAGGTATTAATTATGTATTTAAAACATAGTTTAAAATTCTAACAATTTCGCACAAACTAAACAAGCCAAACACCTAAGTGGTTAAGAAATTTGTTATTCTCTCAAAATGTCCTAAGTTCAGACATCAATAGAAATATAAACGTTCATTTTTAATTAGTTGAAAATCTTTTAAAAAATACTGCATTATATTTACTTTAAATTTTTCAGGAAACAAATCTAATAATTTCCATATAAAAGTCATTTTAAATAAAGTTGAAACGTAAATAATTAAAGTGTTTTAAAAATATTGAAGCTAAAACAAAAGGCAAACTTTAATAACGGAATTTAGTTTTGTGCCTAAATTAAATAATAATATCAAATAGTTTACTAAAAATAATATTTATATATTTAAAATTATTACTATTCAAAAATATATTTAATATTATTCGTTGTAATGTCCTAATCCAGTTAGACCCGAAGATCCATGGATTACAATGTTACACGGGACTACCGAAATAGTGACCAATTTTTTTTAAACTACTTGTAAATCTATGAAATTTAGACATTCATAAAGTAATATAAAAACATAATAATAAATTGGGTTTACAAATAATGGGGAGCCCCAAAATATATCCGCAAAATAATACAAAATATTGAGTTTCAAAACAATTACGACTGAATACATAACAAGGTCCATAACAGTGTATGCCCTCTAGAGATGACTCAATACGTACTCTAAAAGGTCTTTGGAAATATGAATCTGTTGCACTGGAATATCTAATGACAATAGCACCCCATGATCTACTTTCTAAGAACATGTGCACGAAAACACATTCCGAACACTGAGCTTACGAGCTCAGTGCCTCACTAAAAAATGTACTATACTATATGCATTCACTAAATGAAATGGAAAATGGCACAATTCTGAGTATACAACTATTGGGTTGTTAAATTGTGGCTAGCATCATAGTGTGACTGAGTGATTCTGCATCTTGGAGCTCACGCACCCCTCTAGCACTGCCGAAGCATAATCGGTTACTCTTGGGTTAAATCTGAAATTCTGCATCGGAACGTACACTAACCGACTTACTCCGTCAAGTCTTGGGGCATTTGGTGCCCAGTCGGCTGCTGTAGTGTTGTGGCACTGACTGTCATATTTCTGCTAAAAGGAACTCGGGTGTCCTGATTATTTCCCGAGCGTCAAACAAGTCTAGTTTTATGTAAACCTAGTTATTTATGTTTCTAATATTATGATATTAATTATTGTTCTCGCTTAAAGTCTTATTTGAGGATATAACGAAGTGTTGGGGGTACCTCGAGTCTAATTCCATTAAAAACTGTACTTTTGTCCAAAACAGACTGAAAGTATCGATACTCCTGAAATTTTTTTGATATTTTATGTTAGTATCGATACTTTAAAGTAGTCTATAATGCCCTATTTGATACTTTCTGGGAGTTCAAAACTATGACCCAAAGTATCGATACTCTTGAAAGAGTATCGATACTCTTGCCCAGAAACTCATGATTTTGCCCAGGAAGAAGAGAACAAGTTTCGATATTATCCCTCTAGTATCGAAACTCAACCTATAGAGAGCATAAAATAGGTGCAGAAACTCCTATTATATTATCCCAAAGACCTTAGTGAGGTCCCCAAACATTATTAATGTTTTATGAAGATACAAATGAGCATAAATAGGGCTTTAAACTTGTTTATAACTCTAAAACATGAAATCTACCATGTGAATGCTTCAAGCTTATGCAACCTACTACATTTCATCTAAATGACTTACATATGGTATAGTTGAGTCAAGATTGAGTTACCTTTGATGCTAAACTGCTGAAAACACACAATGCTCAACCAAGGGTTAGTTTCTCATTCCCTTTAGCTTTGGAACTTTCTTCAACCTCCGTCACTAAACAAGATTCAAAAAAAAGATTACTAGCTGAAAGTGAAGGTTAAGAAGGGTTTAAAAACACTTTCTATAGCTATGAAACATTGGAAACGAGCTGGATTCTCTGAATTCCTTGAACCCCTTCAAAACCCATTTTTGGTATCAATCACCAAAATTTGCAAGAGTGGGCTTGAAATAAAGCTTGGAAAGAGTATAATGTGGTTCTTACCTTGGTTTAAAGGGATAAACTGGAGATAAACTAAAACTCCCACCTTTGCTCAAGTTTTCTAAGAAACATAGTGAAGCCTTGGAAGAAGAAAATGAAAAATGAGAGCTGAGAAAATGAGGAAGGGAAAATAGACGTGAAATTATTTTCAATTAAATAATTTAAGCTTTATTTTTAACAAGGGTATAATTGCTTCCTTGGTCCCTCTAATTCTGACTGCAGATTAAAACACCATTTTTATTCATTATTGAGCTTACCTCAAGCTTAAATCATCTTTAATTTGGGTCAAGGCTTCCTACAAGCTATGAAATTAAACCAAGGCCCATCTCGGGTTAGCCTAATACTTGTAACCCAAGATTCGTGGCGTTATAACTCTCATCTTCTAAATAAAATTTTGTTCTCAAAATTTACCTGAGTAAAAGAGGTGAGGATACTGAAGCTTCAAGTCCTCATCTGTTTCCCTCGTCACTTCCTCAATGCCATATTTCCTCCATAGCACTTTCACTAAAGGAATCCTCTTGATCCTTAACTCAATCATTTTGCTCACCAAGATTCTTATTGGTTCCTCTGAATATGTCATATCTGAACTGACCTCAATTTGTTCTAAAGGTATGACGTGCGATGGATCATAGCAGTATCTTCTAAGCATAGATACATAGAACACATTGTGAATGCACTCCAACTCTGGTGGTAAAGCTAGTTTGTAAGCCACTGGTCCATTTCTCTCAAGTACCTTGTAAGGTCCTATGAAACAATGAGTCAAATTGACTTTACGCCCGTAGTAGAACACTTTCTTCCGTGGGGAAACCTTAAGGAACACATTGTCCCCAACTATGAACTCGATGTCTATACACTTCAAATCTACATAAGACCTCTGTTTGTCTGAGGCCTCCTTACGCCGGCTCTGAATCAATCGAATATTCTCTTCAATCTCTTGGATCAAGTCTGAGCCTACAATCTTACCCTCACTAAACTCAGTTCAACAAAGCAGAGTCCTATATTTATGCCCATATAGGGCCTCGTACGGAGCCATCTAAATGCTCGACTAGAAACTGTTCTTGTAAGTAAACTCCACTAACATCAAATGATCCTCCCAACTACCCCTCAGATCGAAGATAGTAAACCTGAATATGTCATCGATAATCTGG